AAACATACTTACACTATCTAAACTGTATATGGGTACCATCCAAAGAATCCTATTTGGAGAGCAAAACATAAATTAAAAACATTTTACATTATATTTATGAAGTCAGTCAGTCAACACAACACTAATACAGTAGATTCAAAATATGTTAAGATTTACCTTATTATTGGTTTCTGTAGTTCAGGTTGTGTATAATGCACTAAATGTTGCAATATCCCCCATAGTGATATAGGTATAGTCAACAACAAAAATATTCCAGCAATAAACCAAGCCTTGGTGTGTATTCCAACCTTAAGAAGCAGAAGAACATGCTGGTATAAATTCTCTGATATTAAAAGTAAAGAGCTAAATATTTTTATTTTTAAATTTCCATTTATTTGATTATTAATGGGGCTTAATATTTTCCAAATGACTAGTAGCCATTTTTTATTTATTCTTTAATAAGAAGCCTATTCTTACTTTTGTAGAGGGAGGGAGCAGAGTTTTCCTCATGGGATTGAGCATCTTTCCTCATGGGGCTTTTTGTAATAGTGTTGTGTACATTAACAATGTTAACATCATGTCATTTTCCCTCAGCTGACTTGGCCTTTAGAGTTGATTATTGTGTCTGGAGATATACAGAATTTTCAAATTTTCTACACAACTCAAATCTAAAAATCTTTATATGGTTTATTCCTTTGCTTTTATATCTAGAAAGTTAAAAACCTACCTACATTTTCTGCAAATTCTGTTACACAACATGTTAGTAGAACATTTACTGCATGCTGACTATATCAGATACTTTAACATGCATTAAGTCTTTTAACCCTCCTATTTGATAAATAATGCAACAACTACTGTTCAAGTAAACTGTGTTAATATATGCTATCCCTTTTATACATAACAATATCAACTCAGGATATTACACTTAAAAAAGCTCTAAACTTGTATGCATGCATATAAGCATAACCGATGGATTCAGACACGGGGGATGAGGGTATGAGTGGGGGATGGGGGACAATGGGGGGATAAAGACACATCTGTAATATCTTAATCAATAAAGGGAAAAAAATAAAAGCTCTAATTTCTCTTTTAGGTCAATATCTGATCAATATTCTATCCTGTAAAAGCTTAATGTCTAAAAATATACTTTGAATTATCTCATCCCAGGTAGAGTTGCAATATGGCACATACTTTTTGATAAAAAACAAATTTATTTGAACCTCTGTTATATCTGAGGTGTCCTTGAGAATAAATTTTATACTAACTTGGACTCTTGCCTTAAAGAGTGTGAATTCTTTTAATTAAAAAAAAAAGCAAGTGCTAACTTTTTAAAGGAAAAAAGGTAGGCATTTATTTTTGGTACTTGAGGGATTTGAGCAGTTAATTAAAATAGAACTGAAGTCCACAACTTCTAGGTTTACAGTTTTGAACAGTAAAAGGTGGTCAAAAATTAAAGAAGCAGAAAACAAAAGAATACTGACAAATATATTTTTATAACAATAAATTCCTACATTAAACTGTATGGAGAACTTGAAAAGCAAATATGAAAGCCTTGCTGAATGCTGGAGATTACTCAAAGCAGTCAGTGAAAGGCAAACGTGTGGAGTTGAAGATTCTGAAAGGAATGTCTGAGCAATCATATTCCAGGGATTTCTGCTTGACTAAATGTCATTTAAAAGTGAGTAATCATTTTAGTGATGACCTAAAGTAATAATAAAAATAAAAGCACATTTTAGATCTTTTCTATTATAAGGTGATCACTAGGAACAGTATTGCCACGTAATTTTAATGCCCACAGTTGTCTTTAAGATTGCCTTAGTGCCAAAAAGTAGAACGTGGTAGTAGACTTAAGAGAAAAATGTGTCTGTGACTAATAAAGGCAAAGTGTGCTGTAAGGGAAAAAGTTCTTTTTCAAACGATCAGAAAAGAAGTGACTAGATAACTGAGTCATTTCAGTATCGTGATGCCAAATTTAAAATATCTTGCATCATGGAGTTAATACCATTTTTACACTGGCAGTGGTAGTTGAGTTTCATCTGTACACATTAATGCCATTAATTTGAATCACTGGTTTTACAGTTGTTTTGATTTTTGAACTATATGAAAAGCCATACGTATAAGAAATTTAAATTCTTTGATGCATATTTAAGCAACATAATAAAATAAGTCACCTCTAGGTATCTGTAGAAGTTAATATAATTATTACATTGATTTTAATTTAATTTACATTTACCTCTGAATTATGCACACTTGAGACACACTGACATAAGGATACTGTTAACATTATTACATTTCTCAGCCATGAGTAGGGTTTCCTGGCTCACAAAACAAGGGGGAGATAAGCAGTGGAGACTTTTTTTCCCCCCACTAAGGTAACTTGAAGAAAGTAGAGAGGAAAGAAAAGACCATTAAAGATGAGCATCCAGGAGTGAGATAATTGTCCCTCAGTGGAATGCTTTCAAAGCAGAGTACAGAGGAATAGGAGAGCATTTTCCCCAATCCTCCTGGGGCGAAGAGAGAAGCACTAACAGAGGGTAGCTACTTGGGGCATGCAGACCAGAGACCAGAGTAAAATGACTGCCGAGGATCGTGACATTTGTGCCTTTTCTCTCTGCT